GGGGGGGGGGGCATGGCAAGACCCTGAGCTCCCCAAATACACCAAATATACAAACAAAACAACAAAACATAAACACTCAGGGAAAATGAATTAGGAGGGAAAACCTGCTGTTACGGTAAGCCAAACAACTTTAAAAATCCAATGTAGCTCTAAAGCCTAGGTGCGGTTTCTGCAGGCGCTCTGCTGCTGTCTGTGTGGGCCCGCCGGGGTTGGGAGCCTGGTGGGCCATGGGCGGCCTAAGAACTGCAGCTGGTGACCACTGTGACCACTGGGCGCCAGGGGGCAGAGTCCCCCCAGGAGGAGCAGCAGCTAGGGGCGGGACCACGCGAAAGGCACAGTCCCACACAGCCAAGGCTCAGCATCGCCTGCCTGCTTTTCACGGAGCCTGGCAGCTGTGACTGGGGAGCTCGGCACAGAGGGGGAATCGCCAGGCCGCCCAGGGTGGCTGCGTCTGTTCCAGCCCCAAGGGGACAGAGAGGAACTGCTGCTGGAGGCTGCTGGATTCTGCTTGGAAGGCGGGACCATCTCCCCAGCCAAAGCATCTTGCCCCGACGCACAGCGTAAGTGTGGGCACTGTCACAGAACAGTGAAGACAGGCACAGAGGAATCTCGATGGCAGCTGCCATCCCATAATCCTCCTGCTTCATCCATAAACCTAAAAATGAGACTATAAAGCTGGTGAGCTGGTGCTCACCTGTAACCCATGCACTCAGGAGGCTGAGACAGGAGGATTGCTGTGAGGGTCAATTCAAGGCCAGCCTGGGCTACATAGAGACCTTGCTTCATAAAACCCACCCACCCACCCACCCAAATAAGTAACCATCCATTGAAGTTCATTATCTAAGTCCCTGAAAGAGCATTTATTTTTAGTGTTAGATTGACAACAGTTGTTCCAGCATCCTGCATCCCCGCTCCAGCTGAACAGCTCCGAAGGATGCAAACCCCGACACTCCCAGCAGCTCCTAAGGAAGCGCCAAGAGGCACACCCCTGGCAGGCCGTGCACAGAAGCCCGGCGAGCAGAGCTGAGCAGAGAGGACGCTCTGCCGAGGCATCTCCTATCGGCTGGGAAGGAGAGAGGAGGTGAAGGGGGCGCCCCTGGTTACAGCTGGGCACCCACCACTCCCTGGCTCCACTGGAGCAGGAGGAGGAGAAGGAGGGAATCTCAGGTGCTGGTGGAGCGCTTGCGCCCGGGCCCAACCTTGGCTGGCAGAGGATGACTTGGGAGAGAGGGACAGTCAGCACCTGGAGTCCTGAGGAAAAAGGGGCACTGCCACCATGGGACTTCTGAGGACAGAGGGGTGGAGTGGCTGCAGCGGCACCGGACAGCGGGACGCTACAGGGAGTGGCAGTACATGTGGTCTTCGAAGATCTGCTTCTCTGTGGTAGGGAAGACCCTGTCACAAATTGGGCAGGTCAGGGGTCTCTCAGCGCAGAGCTGCAGGAAGAAGAGAGGAGCACAAGGGTGAGCTGCGGGTGGGGTGCGGCCACCTGGCTCCCCGCTGCCTGACTCTTCCTCAGCACCTGGTGTCCCCGGGCCACGCGTATAGTCCCTGCTACTGGGAAGCCCAAGGCAGGAGGACATCAAGTTCAAGGCCAACGCCAGCACTCTGACAAGACTTTGTCTTAAATATTAAAAAGGAGCTGGTTGTGGTGGGTCACCTGGAACCCATGTGCTCTGGGAGCTGAGGTATGAGGACAGAAAGGCCTGGCTCAGCCCGGGCAAGGCAGGGGCTTGGTGAGACGCTGTCTCGGGACAAGGGCTGAGGATGTGGCCTGGTGCCAAGGCCCTCGGCTCCATCCCCAGTGCAGGAAGAGCTGCACCTGGAGACGCCCTGACTTCCAGGATGAAGAGCCCCTGCACCCTGTTCCACCTCACCCACGAGCTCACAGGTGGCGTCTCTTGGCACGGACTGCCCAGGCCTGGGCCCCACCCAGTGGCCTGCCTCAGTGAGCGAGGAGGAGCCCCAGGGACACAACCCACCCAACAGGCTTGCAGGGAGGCACTCACCAGGCCAGAGGCAGAACTTTCTTGGACACCTGAGGAGAACAAAGATTTCATTCAGTAACAAAGCATCATTCCTGATGCACGTGGTTGGCTTTTAGTATTTTTGTTTTGTTTCTGAGACAAGATCTTGGTACATAAGCCAGGCTGGCTTTGGACTATACAGCTCAGGATGGCCTTGTTGGGAACTTGCTAGGGGCTGCTTACCTTCCTGGAATCCTCCTGCCTCAGCCTCCCAAGTGCACCACTGGGCCCGGCTGAAGTCTTATTATTAATTAGTTCAGGTCTCTTACTTTATAGTCTGTTTAGCTTCTTTATAAACAATTATCAAAAATAAATAATTATCTCCCTGAGAAATGCCTGTCTTTTACTGTTTGTTGATATGATCTCATTTAAATTCTGAATTTACAGCCAGGCATGGTGGCAAACGCCTGTAATCCCAGCACTCAGGAGGCTGAGGCAGGAGGATCACCACAAATCCAAGGCCAGCCTGGGCTATGTAGTGAGAACCTATGTAAAAACACCAAAAATTAAAATAAATTTTTAAAAAAGAATTTAAATTCTTTAAAAAACCCCCCTCTTTTTCAGGAACTGTCAATTC